TAGCAATTAAAATATTTAAATAAAAACATATTTACTCCAACAATCCCCCACTTGTTTTTGTTTAAAAACCGTAAATCAAGCAACATATTATAAAGCTATGCATAAGTAAAGGTGTTTCTCAACTTGAACCTGTATATAGTGTTAGTGATCCAAACTATACTAGAATAACTTATAGTTTTGAACTCTATCTCTGACAACACCACACACATAACTTTATTAAGGTGAAGTTCAGAAAGTCAGCACATTACTGCCATGTGCTTGTATCCCAGTATAGTGAATGCTCAAGAAACTTGCCCAAGATTTCATAGGAAGCGGTCTCACTTCCACATGTACATAGGTAAGACTATCAAGGATATTCTTGTAGCTAGATATCCCACTCAACATAGAGTATAGACCTTACTAAGAGAAAAAACAATCTCAACCTAAAAACGCTTAAGGATGTCATGCTTCTTAGGGATTGACATGGAATAATATTGTGCTTACGACGTATTTGTCGCCTTTTCCCGTTATAATAACGGTTTTGCACTTTAGCTATTACCGCTGCGCTATCACAATGGATCAAAACAGCTGGAATCGGTTTCTCCCATAAAAGGGTATCTGACAGTAGGTTTCTCAACCATCCTGCTTCTTCGCTTGCTGTAGCTAGCACTATTAATTCTGACTCCATAGTAGACTGCACCAAGATAGTCTGTTTCTTAGACTTCCATGACATAGCCCCACCACTAATACGAAAAATATATCCACTAGTGGCTTTAGAGTCATCTGAAAGAGTATTCCAATCAGCGTCGCTGTAACCTTCTAGGACAACAGGAAACTTCTCATAGTGTACTATGAAATTCATCATTCTTTTAAGGTATCTCATAAGCCTCTCTATAGCATGCCAATGCTCCAAACTAGGTTTGCTAGTAAACCTACATAAAACTCCTACGGCATAAGATATATCAAGCCTAGTGCAATCAGTAGCATAACGAAGGCTACCAATAATACTCGCATACTCAGATTGTTTAACATTGTCACCAGTGTTCTTGAACAATTTTACACTAGGATCATAAGGAGTACAAGTTGGTTTACAATCAAAATAATTATACTTTCTTAATATGCTTTCTATGTAGTGAGATTGATCTAAAGAAAACCCATGTTTGGACCTAGTTATTTTCAAACCAAGTATTACACTAGCTTCACCCAAGTCTTTCATATCAAAATTCGCACATGACAAAGATTTGACATTATTCACAACATGAATATTTGAACCAAACAAGAGCAAATCATCCACATATAGGCAAATTACAGTGCATGTATTATTTTCAGACTTATAATAGATGCATTTGTCACTTTCATTTATTTTAACACCATTCGAAGTAACCAAACTATCAAATTTTGCATGCCATTGTTTAGGAGCCTGTTTCAATCCATAAAGTGACTTATCTAACTTGCAAACTTTATTTTCTTGTCCTGGAATAATATATTTCTTCATCTAATTCACCATTTAAGAAAGTTGTTTTAACATCCATTTGGTGCACGACAAGATCATAAATAGAAGCTAAAGTAAACAATACACGAATAGAAGTTATTCTAGTCATAGGTGAATAAGTATCAAAGAAATCTATATTTTCTCTTTGTCTATAGCCTTTGGCAACAAGTTAGGCTTTAAAATTTTCAATTGAACCGTTTGGTTTTAATTTTCTTTTAAGAATCCATTTGCAACCTATTGTTTTGCAACCAGGTGGAAAATCCACTAATTGCCAAGTTTGATTTGACTCTAGGGAGTCCATTTCATCATTTATAGCTTCTTGCCACAAGTCTACATTTAAAGAAGTTAAGGCTTCTTGAATTGTATTAGGATATTCTTGTAAGTTATATACATGAAAATCAGGCCCAAAATCTTTAGCTATTCGAGCTCTTTTACTTTTCCTAGGTTCTAATGTAGATTGACTATGTTCTACAGCAGTAGGTTCATAAATTTTAGAAGAATTAGAACCCCCACTATTTCGAAGATTAAATGAAAATTTATTCTCATAAAAATCAGCATCAAGTGACTCAATTATGACATGGTTTTTCAAATCATAAAATCTATATGCTTTGCTATTACATGCATAACCAATAAAAACACATTCATATGCTCTACTAGCCAATTTTGATCTTTTTGGATCAGATTTACGAACATAAGCTAAACAACCCCAAGTTCTGAAATACAACACATTTGGTTTCTTTTTTTTCCAAATTTCGTAAGGAGAAATATTTGTTTTTGAGTTAGGGATTCTATTTAACACATAACATACAGTCAACACAATTTCACCCCACCAATAAGAAGCAGCTCCAGAACTAAGTACAGGTAGCAACAGTCAATTCACAAAGAGTTCAATTTTTTTTTTCCGCTTTACGATTCATTTCAGGAGAATAAGGAGCAGTAATTTCATGAATAATTCCATGAGACTTAAACAAATTAACAAATTTAGTAGATTCATATTCTTGTCCTCTATCACTACGAAATCCTTTAATATTACGATTAAATTGATTTTCAGCTTCACTTAAGAAAGTTTTGAACATGTCAATAGCTTCACTTTTATTTTTTCATAAGATAGACAAAACAATAATTCGAACAATCATCAATAAAGGTAATAAAATAATGTTTTCCATTTCTAGTTAACACTCTATCAAATTCGCGTATATCAGAATGAATTAAGTCAAGTGGTTCAGATTCTCTATTGATAGATTTATGCGAAGTTTTAGTGATTTTAGCTTGACTACAATATTCACATTTTTCAAAATCATTCAATGATAAGTTAGGTAAAAAACCTAAGTTATTCATGTTCTTAACCAAACGTTTGTTAACATGACAAAGTCTAGCATGCCAAGTATTAAAAGAAGACAACATGTAAGTAGAAGTAGACATTTCATTAACATTAACATTCAATTTAAACATCCCATCAGTAGTATATCCCTTTCTCACAAAAACCCCATTTTTAGTAAGAGTATACGTATCTGCTCCAATGGTTTGACTGAATCCAGCCTTGTTAAGAAGAAAGCCTGAGACCAGATTCTTCCTTATCGCTGGAGCGTGCATCACATCTTTTAGTATCATGGTTTTTCTAGAGGTGAACTTCAACTCCGCCTCTTCAGTACCAGCAACATCAGTTAAGTGCGAATCACCCAACAACACATTCCTTCCTTCAGTCACAAAATAGGTCTTGAAAAGGGAACGATCATAGCAAACATGGCGAGAAGCACCAGTGTCCACCCACCATCCCTCGGATCCATCAACAACATTGATTTGTGATATCATTGCAATCAGTTGCTCTTCAACAAGATTTGTCTCAGAAGCAGAGTTTACCTTATAATGCATGGCAGATTGAATGCATCTTAAAATTGTTGAAAACTAAAATAGAAAGGAACGAAGTTACCCGAAAAAAGTAGAAGCCTTAAGTGGTGAATGATTCTTGGGATGCGTCGCGGACTAAGTCACTTTCTTTAAGACGTTTCGCGGCTCTGTCCAAAGTGTGCAAGCAGTTTACAAACACCACATCGTCTCCAGGATAAAACAACCCAGAACCTTCTTCTGATAAGGTTCTTCCTTGCACAGTGAAAGAACCTTCAAACTCACACCTTTTCTATATGTTGCTTTAGAACTCAATTTTAAGAAAAACACATACGCTATTCTTTTTTCTTTCTCTATTATTTCTTCGAAACAGGGAACCTATATATATTCAAGAATATAAAATATGCGCTGCAAGTTTGAGAGATTCAAGGGCTTGAAATCTTAAAGAATCAAAATTGAATAAAACCAAAACGGTCAAATCAAAACCGTAAATATTCAAACAGAACAAAAAAAATGTATAAGGACATAATCTAACCTAATATTCTTCTCTATTCAGAGAAGGGATCCCATCAATTAATGTGAGAAAGCTTTCTCACGTTTCAAAAGTAGTGGAGGAGATTGCTCCTCATCAAAAAGTAAGATAGACAATTTAGGTTATATATATATTTAATGATTCTATAAACCCAAATATAAAAACCACAACGAACAAAAACATAGCAATTCAAATATTTAAATGAAAACATATTTACTCCAACATGTTGGTTAAAGGTCATTTTGGAAGTACTTCTTTAGATAGCATTTTTGCTCAAAAGCGTTTTTAGTAACAACACTACTATTAGAAAAGAACAACAAATTTTTTTAATTAAAAATACAAGTGCTTTGTAAAAAACCATTCGAAGTGTTTGCTAAAACCACCTTTTATGTGACTCGTGTCACAAATCTTTTACGACCTTCAACTTTCTTGATTAAACAAAAAAGCCTTCTGTTCAGTCATAGGGTTTTACTCTGAGGTCAAGCTCTCATTGCAAATAAGGGCCCAAGCATAAAGACAATTCATGACAAGCCCATAAATAACTGGGGCTTTTTTCAATTTTGTTTGTACTTCATGAGGAAAGAAAAAATGTTAAAGAATCTTTGTTAAAGATTAAAGTGGAACGTCACTTGGTACTACGATTTAAAAGTATTTCTTTTTGTTTGTAAATGAGAGGTCTTCCGTTTTTGAACCATATTATTGTTAGCCCATTGTGAAGCTTAGCCCACTCTCTTACTTTCTTAATGTAGATGATATTGTTAGTTTTAATAAAAATAATATTAAAGTGAAATAGTAGTGATGAATCACTCTATTTTTTCTTTTTTCTTTTTTAAATATTTGATGTTAGTTAGGAACATGGGCGTTGAAAAAAGATGCAATAGGTTTGAAGAAAAGTAGTATTACGTATGTTAGTAGGGGGAAGGGTATTTAGTCCTGGTTTGGGATTGAGGTGATTTTAAAAAAAATGGGTGTGAAAAAAAGTTGGGAGGGTTTTTGGTGTTTGATAAACTCTCAAAATCAGCTTTATTTCAAAGTTTTGGATGGAAAAAAGCTAAAAATGAGAAGCTACAAAAAGCAGCTTATTTGTGAAAACATGGAGCTACAGTATTTTTATTAAAGAAAATTTCAAATTGCCAACATTGCCCTTCTTTCTCTCTGCCTTTTCTCTTCCGCATGCCCTCCTTTTACAAAACACTCAGAGATTCTCGCACGTCCTCTTCTCCTCTGTTGCCTGCCTCTACACCTCTTCCTCCTCCTCCTTTTCTTCTCTCTTCGTTGGTCTCAGTGCCATAGATGCCGCCGTCGCCTTCCCTCTCTCTCGCCGTCGTCTTCCCTCATTCCTTTGGTAAGCTTCTCTTGTCTAAAATTTTGTTATTTATTTGTGTGGATTTTTAAATTTGGGGATGGGGAGAGTGAGAGGGGTGGGAAGAGCGAAGGGATGAGTGTATGGGTGTCGGGAAAAAAACTTGGCATGGAGAAAATAGTTAGGGAAAAAATTAGGGTTTGTCGAGGAAACAAGAAAATTTGAGAGAGAAGTAAGAAAAATTGATTACTTCTCTATTCATTTTCCTTGACAGATCTTGATGCATGTTAAGCATAAGAAGTGATAATGTATGTTTGTTCCCTGAATCTTGTTTTGGATTAAAGAGTTACTTGTGTTTTTGTTGTGCTTGGTTGGGGAAAAAGTGGAGGAAAATTTGGAATTGTTACGATTGGTATTGGATTTGAGTGTATCGCTTCTTTTCTGATACAAGGTTGAAACCCTCATCTATGCACTTGAGAAAATTGCCAAGTTCAAGATTCCCCTACTGATTTGTGCAAATTTGAACTATGTGCCTCAAAGGTTAGCCTTCTACTGTTAGTGATGAAGTAGCAATGAGTTGAGTTTTGCATGTTAATAAAAGTGAGAGGGAGAATAGAAGTGATGCAATGCACGTATCTTGTGTTTTGTTGCAGAGTTTTGTAGAAGGATAAAAAGGTGAATGAAAAATGAAATTGTATGTTTTTAGTAAAGGTGTATATTGGGTTCGGGCTATGTGTTGATAACTACAATTTAGGAGATGTTAGAATCATCCAATAAGCTTGAATTTATTGGTCTTCTCTGATGAATATTTTGATAAGAGTTTTATGGTAGGCATCTTACAATCCCTTTGGTAATTGCTGCGTTTTTGCTCACTTCTGGTGTAGCAGAAGGTTTAGCTGTTTGATTGTTCTATGATTGCTGGTACGCAGAAGGTTTAGATTAATGGGATATGTATTGGCTGTTAGATGTTGCAGCTTATCTCACTGTGTCGATTAGTCCATGGTGCATTATTGTCTTGGCCATCTTACCTTACCCTATTGGCTCTTGGATTTTCACTGGACGGTATACTTCGTTGTGGGTATTCATTTTATGCTTTCATTTTCACTGGCTCTTGGATTTTCATTGGACGGTATACTTTGTTGTCTTGGTCATCTTACCTTACCTTACTGAGTCTTATGCTTTTATTCATTTTCTTTTAATAAAATGAGAATTAGTTTGCCTACTATACCTATATCTTTTCATCTGGGTTACCATTTGTTCTGTTTTCAGACAATGTTGAGCTCGGTATAACATGTGGAAAGTACTTCCGGGTGTCTTGCCTTAGCATCATTGATGCAGGTACTCCATAGTTTTCATATCATTCTAAGCAATTTGTTCGCCGACTTGTGAAAAACTGATTTGACTAACTTTGTCATTTGGTATTATCTTCAGGTGATTTGGATGTTATCAAGACGCTGCTTGGTGATCAGTGAAGGAGAGTAGGATGATACCTCTATGTTTAGTGTAGTGTTTTGTTTTGAGATTTGCCCTTTGTTTTCTCTGAATGAAATTCTCAATTTTCTTTGACAATGTTGTGTTGCTAAGTTTCCAAATGCTTAGATTCTACTATATGTGTAAGGTGATCTTCGTTGTGACTTGATGCATGGCATTTTGAGATTCATTAAAGTTAATTTTGTTACATTAGATATCCTATTCGGGGTTTTTTCTTCGAACCTTGAACTGAAATGCTTACGCTAAGTAGTTGAGCAAAAAATAGCATAGTATGAAATGTTGGATAGCTAGATAGGTTTCAATTTGGTATCGGATTTCGCTTCTTTAAAAACCATTTTTGTTCATAAGTGCTATTAAAGGGCTGGTTTGGTATTGATGTGCTTTGAAAAAAATAAAGTATATTTAGTAATTCACCTTTATTTGTTAAGAAAATTAAATTAATGGCACATCTAGTATTATACTCTTTTTGGTCATTTTATATAGTCACAACTGTTTTAGATAAAAGTTTACCAAACACTATAATACTGTTTTTTTTTTCTTTTCAAAAGCACTTTTACAAAAAAGTTTACCAAACACTCTGCTGCTTTATTTTACAGCTGCTTATTCTCACAACACAGCAAAAACAGTTTTTTTTTAAAGCACATTAATACCAAACCAGCCCTTAGTAGGAGGAAGGTGAGAGTTTCAAATCAATACAATAATTTAGAAGAAATAAATAGAAACCTAACACCATATTCATTAAAAGTTGAATCAATAAATTCTAACATGCCAAATGTACTATATCATTCAATGCATATTGAAAGGTCATGAACCAAAGCAATAACAAAATCAGACAAGTTGACTATATTATTCTATCTTAGACCCAAAAAAAAAAAAAAAAAAAAAAGGAGGCTACATTAGTCTATTTGTTGAAAACATTGGCAATGTTGAAAATGTTGGCAGATTAATGAATGCCCACACAGATTTTTCAATACCCACAAATAGTAATGTAGACTTTGAAAATGAAGGAGATCATATTTTTCAAAGGGTGTAATTAATACGTTTGGAGTTGCTCTATAAATAGAGCGCTTCGACAGCTATCAAAATACACAGAGAAAAAAGGAAAGATCAATAACATCAATATATATTCCTCCCTCTTTTATTTATCATCCCTTTGTGTTATAGTTACAGTGTGATATTTTACACATGCTTATCTCCTGTCATTAGTAAAGGTTATCTCTCTAACTTTTACATATTTATAACACGTTATCAGCACGACTCTCTAAAATCTAGCCATTTTCTCATTTCTCTTTGCCGAATGAAAGTAAAGAAAAAAAAAATGTTTCCTCTTAGGATTTTACTGTTCATCTTCTTCCTCTGTCTCAATTGCTAGACATACCCTCGTGAAGAACTGCTTGCACCATGCCTGCTTTTAGTTCTCAGCCTAACAGTTACATATATCTTTGATTTCTTGTTTGGTGTAGATCTTGATTACTAAGCCAGTGTTTATTTATGTTACTTTTATTGCAATCCAAGATGGTGCGGTACAATCGCCCATCTTAAATTGCAAATTTAATTTTACTACAATCCAAGATGGTGTGGTATCATCGTCTATCTTGGACTGCAAATTTTAGGTAGAGCGGTATAATCGCCCACCTTACCCTACGTATTTAAATTTGCCTACTGTTTAATTTCATTGCAATTTAGGCGATACGGTATAATCGACCACCCTGCTCTGCGTATTTAAATTTTCTTGTTATTTGAGTGGTGCGGAATAATCACCCATCCTATGTTATGTTATTTCAATGAGAATGGTGCGGTACAAACGCCCTCCTCATTCATCATGTAAATCTCGAGCTTGAAGTTTTAAGTGCTTATCATTTTGGCCTGAAGATCAAAATGAAAAAAAATTGTAAGAACAAGAAGTTCTAACACTACATACCTCCAAAATACATATGATTTCAAGTTCTTACACATCTCAGTTTTCTTTCAGAAAAGAAAATGGCGAACTTGGCAAAGCTTGATTTTGTTGCCTTGGACATTATTGGGAATAACTACCTTACCTGAGTAGTGGATACCAAAATCCATTTGGAGGCAGGGAATCTTGGAGAAACAATCAAGGAAGAGAACAATGCATTTTCTCAAGATCGGGCGAAGGCCTTGATCTTTATCCGTCGCCACCTTGATGAAGGACTAAAAGTCGAGTACCTAACAGTTGAAGATCCGTTAGCACTTTGGAAGGCTTTGGGAAACAGATATAATCACCAGAAAACAGTGATTCTTCTAAGAGCTCATTATGAGTGGACTCACCTAAGGATCCAGGATTTCAAGTCAGTGGCTGAGTACAATTCTGCCATGTTTAAAATTAGCTCCCAGATGAAACTCTGTAGGGAAACCATCACTGAGGAAGGTATGTTGGAAAAGACTTTCAGCACCTTTCATGCCTCAAATGTGCTCTTGCAACACCAGGATAGGGAGCGATGTTTCACTGAATACAACCAGCTGATATATGTGCTCTTGGTTGCTGAATAAAACAATGAGCTCCTGATGAAGAATCATCAGTCCAGACCTACTAGATCTGCACCATTCTCAGGAATGAATGATGCTTCCCTTGAAGTGAACGTCATATCTTCTAGTGGCAATAATTATAAACGAGGACCTGGCCACAAGCGAGGACGGTGGAACGGGAAAGGCAAGAATCATGGTGTCCAGTTTCACAACTAGGTTCCAAGGCATAATTTAGGCATGGGCTTTAAAAATGTAAATCGCCACAAAGGCAAAGCTCATATAAACAATGCTCCCAGAAATTCTGAAGGAACCTACCATAAGTGTGGTGGCAATGGGTACTGGGTGCATACTTGTCGTACCCCAAAACATCTAGTGGATCTATATCAAGCCTCCATCAAGAAAAAGGGTGTCGAGACCAATTTTCTCGACCAGGCTAAACCAATGGATATACCTGATCTAGTGTGTAAGTTATCAGGGTAGTTGAACATAACCCACCTAGATGTCTCAGATTTTATTGTGGAAAGGGGGAATAAAGCATACCGGTCCGACTAAATCGTTTATGTTTGATGTACTGAACTTGTAGTTCAAAACTAGCATTTCAAATTCAATAAAAGTGGTGTTTAAATTCCCTGTTATAACTTGCTTTTAACTGTGATTCCCTTATTCAGAGAGTATGGATAAAAACTATGGTCATTCTCAAAACATGAGAAATGGCGGAGATATTTGTCTTATAGACTTCACAACCACGCATACAATACTTCGAGATTGAAAGTATTTCTTAAGATTGATGCTTACAAAAGTAAGGGTAACAACAATATCAGGCCTTCAGATGTAATTGAAGGCTCAGGGAAAGCCTAGATTATGTTACCAAATAGCACAATATTGTCCATACATAATGCGTTGTATGCTACTCGATCGACTCGAAATTTGTTGAGTTTTAAAGACATACATTTAAATGGATAACACATTGAAACGAAAAGTGCAGAAAATGTGGAATATCTATGCATTACCTCCAATGATACCCATAAGCGTATATTAAAGAAGTTGCATGGTTTGACAAGTGGATTGTATTATACATGCATAAAGACAGTTGAATCACATATTGTCATGAACCATAAGTTCATTGATTCAAAAGTTTACATGCTTTGGCATGACCGTCTGGTCATCCAAGATCTACCATGATGCGTAGAATCATTACCAATTCTAATGGACATCCATTATTGAGTAGACACATTGCTATCTCAAATGATAACCCTTGCAAGGCATGTTCTCAAGGGAAGTTGGTAATTAGACCATCACAATTACAGGTTGATGCTGAATCCCCATCATTTCTGCAAAGAATTCAATGGGATATTTGTGGGTCTATTCAACTATCTTGTGGACCATTTCGATATTTTTATGGTTTTGGTTGATGCATAAACTCGATGGTCACATGTTTGTCTCTTATCTACTTAGAATGTAGCTTTTGCGAGATTTCTTGCTCAGATAATTAAGTTGCGAGCACAGTTCCCAGATTACCCTATTAAGTCAATCTGACTTGACAACGCTGGTGAATTTATGTCTCAAACTTTTGATGATTACTGCATGACATTGGGCATTGATGTTGAGCACCCTGTTCCTCATATCCATAATCAAAATGGTTTAGCAGAAGCATTGATCAAGCGACTTCAGTTAATAGCTCACACTCTGCTTATGAAAACAAAATTGCCAGTTTCTACATGGGACATGCCATATTACATGTTGCATCATTGGTTCGTTTAAGACCTATAGGCAACCACCAATACTCCTCAGTACAACTCGTGGTTGGACATCAGTCAAACATTTCACATTTACGAGTTTTTGATTGTGCTATTTATGTATCTATTGCACCACCACAATGCACTAAGATGGAACCTCAGCGTAAACTGGGAATTTGTGTGGGTTTTGATTCACCATTTATCATTAGTTATTTGGAACCCTTGACAAGTGATATGTTTACAGCTCGGTTTGCTGATTGTCACTTTGATGAGACAATCTTCCCATCATTAGGGGGAGAAGAGACTATTCCAGAAGAATGGCAAGAGCTGATATGAGTTGTTCCCACCTTATCTCATTTTGATTCTCGAAGCATTCAATGTGAAATTGAAGTAAAAAGGATCGTTCATCTTCAAAGTATTGTCAATCAAATGCTAGATGCATTTAATGATGTTATGAAAGTGACAAAATCACATATGCCAGCTGCAAATGCACTTGCAAGAATTGATGTCCCTGTTAGACAAAATAAAGTGGCAGCGAATGATTAATCTGGTACACGCTTGAAGCATGGTAGACCTCCAAGTTCAAAAGATTCAGCCCCTCGAAAGAGAAACACAAAGGCATAACTGAATCCAAATGAAATCATTCAAGAAGAAAAAATGAATGACAAATCCATAATTTATGATTCTGTACTTTCAAAAAAAGAAAATGTCCTTGATGAGACACATGTACCTGAAGAAACAGATGTACATGAAAGCAAAGAAATCTCCATAAATTATGCTTGTACTAATGAATTGTGGGATCGGAATGAAATAATCATCGACGACATGTTCGCATTCATAGTAGCCAATGAAATCATATTAAGTGATGATCTTGAGCCCCGCTCTATTGATGAATGCAAATAGAGGCAAGATTGGCCCAAGCGGAAAGATGCAATCCAGGCAGAATTAAATTCCTTCAAAAGGTGAAATAGTTTTGGACCAGTAGTCCAAAACCTACCTAGTATAAACCCCGTGGGTTACAAATGGGTATTTATAAGAAAGCGAAATGAGAAAAACGAGATTGCAAGATATAAAGCACGACTCATTGCACAAGGCTTTTCTCAAGACTTGGAATTGATTATGAGGAGACATACTCTTCTGTAATGGATGCAATTACGTTCCGTTATTTAAAAAGTTTAGTGGTTTCAGAAAAACTTGACATGCGACTTATGGATGTCATCACCGCGCATCTATATGGAGAATTAGATACTGACATATACATGAAAGTCCTAGAAGGACTTAAGTTGCCTGAAACAACTAACAAACCACGATGTATGCTCTTAATCAAATTAAGGAGATCATTGAATGAGCTAAAACAATATAGACGAATGTTGTATAATTGTCTCAGTGAGTATTTGATCAAAGAAGGGTATACCAACAATGTCATTTGCCCTTGTGTGTTCATTAAGAAATCCAACTCTAGATTTTCTATAGTGGCAGTATATGTTGATGATATGAACCTAGTTGGAACCTTTAAAGAGCTCAATAAAACTGCTAACTATCTAAAAAGCGAAGTTGAAATGAAAGACCTTGGAAAAATTTTGTCTAGGCTTGCAGATCAAGCATTGTGCTAGTGGAATTTTGGTCCACCAATTAGCTTACATTGAAAAAATCCTGAAGCGATTTGGCATGGACAAGGCTTATCCACTTAGCACGCCAATGGTCGTTCGTTCTCTGGACATTAAGAGAGATCTATTTCGTCCAAAAGAAGATGATGAACTAGTTCTTGGTCCAGAAGTACCATATTTGAGTGCAATAGGTGCTTTACTATATTTAGCACAATGTACTAGACCAGATATAGCCTTTTCAGTCAACTTGTTAGCAAAATATAGCTCTGCTCCAACAATTCGTCATTGGAAGGGAGTCGAAGATGTATTGAGATATCTTCGTGGAACAATAGACGTGAGTCTCTTCTACTCAGAGAAATCCTCAAATGACTAGGTCCTTGTTAAATATGCAGATGCTGGTTTTCTCTCTGATCCGCATAAGGTCGCCTTACAAACTGGATATGTGTTCAAGAATGGAGATACAGCAATCTTATGGCGCTCAACAAAGCAAACATTAGTTGCTACATCTTTAAATCATTCAGAAATACTTGATTTACATGAAGCAAGTCGTGAGTGTTCTTGGTTAAGATCAATGATCCATCATATTCGTAATTCATGTGGTCTACCTTCAAAGGCAGACACTTCAACTGTCATCCATGAAAACGATGTAGCCTATGTTTCCCAAATGAAAGAAGGATTCATGAAGGGCGATAAGACTAAACACATATCTCCAAAGTTTTTCAGTGTACATGAGCTTCAGAAGGCTAAAGTTATTGAAGTCAGACAAATCCGTTTCAATGAAAATCTGGTAAATTTGTTCACCAAATCTCTACTAAAGTGCACGTTTCAAAAGCTAGTGCAAAGTATCGGATTATGTCGACTTAGCAATCCGATAAATTTTGAGAATGCGGAATTAGGAGGAGATATATATATCAGGGGGAGCATCCATGATATGTGCATGTTATACTCTTTTTCCTTCGATTAGGATTTTTCCCACTGGGTTTTTCCTATCAAGGTTTTAACGAGGCAACATAAGCATACTTAACACTATATCAACAATCCAGATAAAGTTGTACTCTTTTTCCTTCGCTATGGTTTTTTTCCACTGGGTTTTTCCAAGCAAGGTTTTAACGAAACAACTAATGTTGATATGTGGGCATCCAAGGGGGAGTGTTGAAAACATTGGCAATGTTGAAAATGTTGGCAGATTAATGAATGTCCACATAGATTTTTCAATAACCACACATAGTAATGTAGACTTTGGAAATGAAGGAGATTATATTTTTCAAAGGGTGTAATTAATATGTTTGGAGTTGCTCTATAAATAGAGCGCTCCGACTGCTATCAAAATACACAGAGAAAAAGGAAAGATCAATAACATCAGTATCTATTACTCCCTATTTTATTTGTCATCCCTTTGTGTTATAGTTACAGTATAATATTTTACACCTGCTTCGCTCCTATCATTAGTAAAGGTTATCTCTCTAACTTTTACTTATTTATAACACTATCCATATAGTTTGACAGTTTTTACTATTCCATTCTCCATCTTTTGCACTATGTGTCATCCACAATCTTACAACACACCATTATGGATGTCTGCATATCAGGGGTCAGTTGCCTCGCTAGTGGAAAAAAAATCATAGCAAAGAAAAAGAGTACAACTTTATTATCTTTGAAATAATATTGAATGTGCTCATGTTGTCTCGTTAAAACCTTGCTTAGCAAAACTCAATGAGAAAAAAATCCTAGTTGAAGGAAATAGAGTCCCTGATTTTTGCAATCTTCAATTTGACTGATTATTAAGTCAGCGTAATCCACCCTGCACTAGCTTCTGAAATGTAAACTTTGGTAGAGATTTAGTGATAGGTCTACTAGATTATTGATGAAATAGATATGTCTAACTTCTATAACTTTAGCATTTTAAAACTCATATGTATTAAAAAATTTAGAGATAATATTTTTAATCTTGTCGTTTTTGATACAATATTTCTTTATTTAAGCAATATAAACTACATTATCTTCATGAATTTTGTCATTGTTATGATTAATTCTTTTTTTTTTTTTTCATTTTATAATCAATTATTTTGTGAAAGAATTATTATAGTATACTATTTGATGCACAAATTAATTTGGGACTAATTAGACACATGGTTTTCGTGATAATAAGACAATTGGAAGATAGCTCCTGTGACAAATAAAAATAGAATTTAAACCATGTGGTGGAGTTCATTAACGAATTTAGCCCAAAAAATAATTTTAACGTTAAATGCAGAGATAAAAATATACTTCACGTTTGCTCCTTCTTCTTCCTCATCTGCTCTCTCTATTATTTATACTTTCACATAGCCAGAAAAACTATGGATATGGTGTGGAAGAACCTTTTGAAAGAAGGGACGGGTGCCAACAAGTCTAATTTGCAGCAGACTTTTTTTATTTTTGAAAGAATTTGAAGCAGACTTTGGGGGGAGATGACTTTGCAGGAGGTTTTGGTAAGAGCTGGGGTTGTGAGAGAAGATGCACAAGTGGCTTCAAAGCCTAATGATGCTGGTTTTCTTTGGTGATTTGTCTCGTTTTGAAGATTCTGGCAATTTGGGATTCGAGTTTCAGCAACCGAATCGCCGTGTTGATGGGATGGGGAATTGAGTTTCTAAGAACAATAATCATCGGGTTCTTAGAAACTCGATTTGGAACCCGATGATGATTGTTCTTAGATCAAATCAACATCAGCAACAATATCAACCTGCCAGAGTCGAAAAAACATGCAGGTTGAATTGTCAACAGATGCCATAGCAGCAATATCAACAGATGCCACAGCAGCAACCTATGACTTACAACACTTCGTAGCTACCTATGCGACCAAATGTTCAGTTGGGTAGTCCTGGAATGAGGGTAGGATTAGGGATGGGCTCAAAAAACCAAAAACTGAAAAAAAAAATTAAACCAAACTCGAAAAAAACTGAACAAAAAAAAAAGCACCGAACTAAGAAAATCGAACTGAATCGAAATTGGTTGGTTCAATTTCGATTTTGGTGGTCTGGAAATCAAACTGAACCAAATCAAACCGATATATATTATTAATTATTTAATATATATTAATGATGAAATCATATACAAATGTTTATATATGTTATTAATCATTGTCATTGCACATTTTTGCATAAATCGTCAATCCATGCAAATTTTCTTCTGATCAGTTTGTAATAAACCTTAAGTAATGTGAACCGTGTTGAGAATTGTGAGAGTTTTGAACATTTGCATTAACAAATGTATGTCGGGTCCATCTGTGTTTGCTTACCAAATGCCACAGACTGAATTATCCGAGTTGTAGAAAATATATAGCAGGTTTTCAGCATCATACCAAGAAACATGCAGGCTGAATTGTCAGAGTCGAAAAAAAAACCAAAATCGAACTGAAACCGAACCAATAAAAAGGAAATCAAAATTAAACCGAACCGAATCAAAAATTCAGTTTGGTTTTGGTTGTGGCAAAAAACCGAACCAATGGGAACCAAATCCATCCCTAGGTGGGATGATGTGAACTGGTGATCCAGGTATGAATGGCGATATGGTTCTGAGTCCACAGATGGGAATGCTTGGGCCTAGGACTTGTAGGACCAGAGAGACAAAAAAGAAAATAATATTTTTACCTCTGCATTTAACGAAAAAAATCATTTTTGGACTAAATTTGCTAACAGCTCAAACCACGAGGATTTAAATCTTAATTATTTTTACCACGAGGACTATCTTTGAATTACCTTATCACCACGAGAACCATTAATGACCATTAATTTGACAAGAGTAGCAAACACATATAATATATTTTATTGCACAATATAGTTTATCTGATTGGAGTAGTCTGAGAACTTACCTCGAGGATGAGGCGATGGCGGCTACAGCTGTGAATTAGTATCTGGGACATTAGTTTAGGGTTTTTCTATTGTTGTTTGTCTTTCTGCTTTTGGGTTTAAGTTTGTGTGGATCTTCCATTTTATTTTGGGTTGTAACTCTCCTATTGCTTGGGATTTTTAACTCTTTTATTAAGGATTTTGTGTGTTTTTTGGACTTAGCCAGTTATTACATTTGTAATTTCCTCTTTATCTTTAGAAAGTTGTTATTTGTACTTTAAAAATTTTATTTTTCACTTCAAACTTTTTATATTTAGATCAAAATACATTCGAAAAGAATACAGAATGAGATTTTTAGAATACAAATACCATTTGCATACTGAATGAAGTTTGTTTTGTGGGAAAACAATAAAAAGTCATATAGACCCAACCGACACTGCGTTTTGCGTTTTAGTGTATAAAAGCCCTTGCAAAACCCTAATCCACTGTCGACCACCTCTCTGCCTCTGCGTCTTGGAATTCTTGAGAAGGCAGCCATGGGGAAGGTGAAGGGCAAGCACCGTTTGGACAAGTACTACAAACTAGCCAAAGAGCATGGCTACCGCTCCCGAGCTTCATGGAAGCTTGCCCAGCTCGACACCAAGCACCAATTCCTCCACTCTGCTCACGCCGTCCTCGACCTCTGCGCCGCCCCCGGCGGATGGATGCAAGTCGCTGTGCAGCGCGTGCCCGTCGGCAGCCTCGTGGTCGGCGTCGACCTAGTCCCCATCGCCCCGGTCCGCGGCGCCTTCTCCATCCAGCAGGACATCACCAAGCCCGAGTGCACGGCCAGGCTCAGAAAGCTGATAAAGGAGAATGGGTGTTCGGCTTTCGATTTGGTGCTTCATGATGGGTCGCCTAATGTCGGTGGCGCGTGGTCTTCGGAGGCGACGGCTCAGAACGCTTTGGTCGTTGATGCGGTGAAGTTGGCTACTCAGCTTTTGGCTCCCAAAGGAACATTTATTACTAAAGTATGTGTTGAATTTACATGTTGGCAATCGGGTTTTTGTGGGTTTGTATTGGATTTTTTGTATTTTTTGTGAGAAATGGGTTGGGGGTTGGTTTGCTTGCTGGGTTACTTCAAATGAAAAGTTTAAACTATGAGTTGTTAAATTTTGAGTTCTATTTGTTTGATTCATTACTGCATTCCTGAATGGGGCAGCGCTTGGAGTTAATTATACCTTAATATGCACGAAATTCCTGTTTTCAATTTGTTTAAGAGCTCAAACTGTTTAATATTTCAAGAATTGAATTGTGGACGTCTTTAAACATATAAGTATTTTGTTTATGTAAGTTTTTTTGGTTTTGTTTTAGAATGCGAGCGCTTATTATTGTTTTGTTGCAGATCTTCAGATCGCAGGATTATAATGCTGTCTACTATTGTATGAAGGAGGTGATTTTCCAGTTCCTTTATTTATTGTAATTCTCTACATTGATATGCCTATTTGATCCTCGTATATAGGTTGCAAAACGTATTTATTCCGACACTCTGGATTTGGATATGCCTGTCTGATCCTGGTATCTAATCTGCAGCTATTTGAGAAGGTTGAACAGGATAAACCAGCAGCTAGTCGTAGCTCATCTGCTGAGACATATCTTTTGGGTTTTAAGTACAAGGCTCCTGCAAAGATTGATCCGCGCCTACTTGACGTGAAGCATCTATTTAAGTCTGTAGAACCTCAGAAGAAGGTAACTCATATTAGATTAAGCAGAATACCTGCTTTATATAAGTACAAAATTCTTGCCTTTTAAAAAATTAGTTTTAATATATTTATTCTCTTTACAACACCTTGATATAGGTGGTAGATGTACTAAGAGGAACAAAGCAAAAAAGACACCGTGATGGGTAAAAGTTCTTTCTAATTTTTAATTTTTTTTTCTTTATATCTTTACCTGATCACTATTGTATGAGCTGAAGCGTTCTAATTTCCAAACAGGATCATTGTATGTGGTTTTTCAAAGCATTTGTGTGGAAATTCATAAGTAATTGGTAAAATTGCATAGGATTGTTAACGGTGACGGCTGAACCCTAGTATTTCCCATAAGTAATTTTCTTAAAATCTGTTTTATTACTTTCTGTTTTGCTGATTAATTTTATAAAAGCCCAATTTCATTTATTTTAATTTTATTGATGGGTCAATGATTTTGCTCTATCCACCATTGACCTTGTTTGTTCAAATTTTTTGAGTTCTTATGATTGCTATCTCTACCTGGTTCTCTTTATTTTTGTGTTCCTCTGATTGATATCTCACAAGTGTTGCCTGATTGGGTTCTATATTTAGGTATGAAGACGGAGACACAATTTTGAGAAAAGTGTCTTCTGCTGCTGCTTTCATTTGGTCTGATGTTCCTCTTGATATCCTGGGTTCTACTACATCCATAAGCTTTGACGATGAGGCATCTTTACTCATCAAGGATCATGCTTTAACAACAGAAGAGGTAGTCATTTCTTGTTTTTTCTTAGCATGTTGTGTTCTCTTGATATAGATTTTACTTTTCCCTACTAGGTGAAAAAAATGTGTTTTATTTGCCCCTTTAATACTTTGGAACCCTTGTAGTGTTCCAACCACTTTAACTATTATGGTTTGACAGGTTAAAACTCTCTGTGATGATCTGCGTGTTTTGGGGAAGCAAGATTTCAAGTACCTTTTGAAGTAAGAAATGCTAGTTCTTTTATCTATAAATTGCTCTTTTAGATTTAAAAATTGCATTTTGTGGCTAGACCTTATTAGATCTCCCCACCCAACAAAAAAAAAAACCCCAACCCCCGCTGCCTACCTTCTTTCTTTTTAATCTGTAATTCACGTCTCTCTGCTGTAACAGCATTTTTCTTTAACTCGTTATCATTACAGTTGTTGTGGGAAGGTATCTCTGCATTCTTTGAGACATATCATCTATGATTGTTATTAGTTCGGTTGGGGTTTTAGCTGATCCCTGACCAGTTTGAGCTCTGAATGAGTCTTGGTAGGTCAATTATTATTCCACTTGGCTCGGGTTATTGTTCATGTCATCAAATAACTACCTCTCGTTATTTGGTCCTTACCTTCCAGTTGATGGGTTGTTTAACTTTCTGCTGAAGAAACATGAGAGGACTCCCACTGTTGTTTTACATTACTTGGATTGTTGGAATAATTTAAATAAGTTGAGAAATAATTTCTAGTGATGGACAATTCAGATTGCAGAGTAGTTAATTTGCAATGCATCTACTAGACATGCAGTACATTGCAGTCTAGTTTTCTTGTTTCTTCATTCATACTAAGTTGTTATGATTGTATTGTCATTTAGGTGGCGGATGCAGATAAAAAAGGCCTTATCTCCGTCCCATAAGACTGTCGCTTCTACTACAGATGTTGAAAAGGAGGAGAATAAGGAGGATAAGGATGATGGTGAAGACAAAATACTCAATGAAATGGAGGAGCTGACGTATGCTATGGAGCGCAAGAAGAAACGAACAAAGAAGCTTCTAGCAAAAAGACGAGCTCAAGTTTGTAGCTATTTGTTTCCTTTATATTTATGCACGACTACTCTTCTCAAAAAAAAAAAAAAAAAAAAAAACCGAATAAAATTATGCATGACCACCCGCTGTTATTGTTCAGACATGAAACTGGTAAATGGTTAAATGTTCTTGGGGAATATACACCAGTTTGGAGAGACAATGATAATTAATTAAATGAAGCCTGATAATGTAAAGTTAGACTTTCTAACAGTTATTAATTCCATTAAGCAGTGTGATGGCCCTGGAATCGCCACCTCTATTGTATGTTTAGCTGGATTTGGTGCCAAAATAGGATTACAGGGCTTTCGCCTGTTTGACTGTAGTCTTTACAACGTTGCTTGTTGGCTTGGTCCTTAGGTCAACTGATGATATAGTGTAAAAGATAGTTTAACCTTTTCAATCAAGTATGAAGCTGAAAGTTTTACAGCTTCTTGCGTGCTGGCGGCACCTTCATGTTGTTGGTCTCTTTTTATGTACAAAAATAGTTCGCCTTCTCCTTTCCCTTTTTTTTTTTTTTTTGGCTCAACAATTTGTCCATGTAGAGTTAGATTTAAAGTTGTAATCTTCCAGGATAAGAACTATTGTTTATTTCTTTATCATGAATATCAACATATGGCTCTTTGTTCCTTTTGATTAAATCTATATTTGCAGGACAAGGTACGGAAAGCAACAGGGATGCAAATAGATGCACTGCAAGATGGTTATACTGACAATGAGTTGTTTTCCCTCTCTTCCATTAAGGTATGCTTTCATTTCACAATACCTTTGCATGTTGATTTTCTCTCGGGAATGAGATTTCTGATTGAGGAGCTTTTTTTCAAATCTCGAGAGTTCATTTTTTATGGGCCTTCTTGGGGAAGTTAGATTATAGTTTCAAGTCCTTGCTACAGTATGAAGGCTTCTATTTCACAACTTTTTTCTTTTCATTAGCCATTGCGAGCGTACTATACTTGATTTATTTATTTGTTCCACAACAGAATGGTATGAAGTTATTATTTAAATATATAAAAGGGTTTTACTGTACTCTATAATTTGGAAATTACCATATTTTGTCTGTTATAATTTTACAGTAGATGTTAGTTGGCAGAATTTGTATGCTACTTACTGTTAGTTGGCTTTTCTTTCTCCCTTTGTCCGTTGACATTTAAAAGGATTTCATTTTTTTTCTCCTCAAAGATCAAAATCTTCCTTTTGCTTTTATGCTCCTTAATTTTTCTTGATGAAGATAGTAGGTTCTGACTTCACCAACTTCATGTATAAATATGAATTCACATCTTGACTGTATTCTCGTCCTTCAGGGTAAGAATGATCTGGTAGCCGTTGATTCCACTGAATATGATGGTGAGAATGGTGACCTTGGAGATGGTGAAAATGAGGAAACCCATGAAAAAACCCAAGAAGCATCATCCAGTGATATGGACACTGAAGACGAACGCAGAAGGTTATTCTTTTTTACCTTATATTAGCATTAGATTAACAGATAATAGAGCATTAGATAAACAAATAATAGAGCATTAGATAAACAAATAATTCTAGTATCTGTGTATTAAATCATGTATTACTATTTATGATGTTAGATATGATGCACAAATGGAAGATCTTTTCGATAAGGCTTATGAACAGTACACGTCCAAAAAGGAGGGAAGTGCAAAGCAGCGGAAACGTTTAAAACAAGCACATTCTGAAGACACTCAACTTTTGGAGGTATGAAGTTTTCATTATGCGTGGTGTTGCAAAAAAAAAAAAATTGACACTTGATATGGTCTCATGCCGTGGGTTTGTTTGGGAGTAGTGTTACTTAAAATCTCAATATCTTTCTGCAGAACTTTTTTTTTTTGGTAGGCATGAGTGCATGGATGACGGAAGTATTTATATCTACAACAGAATAGTGCTTGTGCTGATATTTATTTATTTATTTGGCCATGCAGGAGGTGGATGGCAGTGATATTGTTCAGTCTGATTATGATTCAGACAAAGACCAGGGTATCCAGGAATCAAATCCTCTATTGGAAGCACTTGACGAGGGGGATGGACCTACTCAAGAGGAAATTACGAATAACTGGTTTAGTCAGGATATCTTTGGCGAAGCTGTAGAGCAGGGGGATTTGGAGAACTCTGGTAGTGAAGATGAAATGCAGGTTGAAAGGCAGGAGAAATTTCCCTTGCTGGAAAAGGCCAACGAAAAGACTGCAATTCAGAGTGGTAAGGAAAATAATGCAATTCACAATGCCAAGAATAAGAGTGAAAATGACCATAAACTTAAAGCTTCAAAGGCAGATGATGATTTTGAGATTGTCCCTGCTCTGGGTACAGATTCAAGTGATGACTCGTCATCAGATGAATCTGAGGATATGAATATAGATAAAAAAGCCGAGATACTGGCGTGTGCAAAGAAAATGTTGAGGAAAAAGCCAAGGGAACAGATGCTTGATGATGCCTATAACAAGTACATGTTTGATGATGACGGCTTGCCCAGATGGTTTTTAGATGAGGAGAAGAGGCACCGTCAACCAATTAAACCAGTGACCAAAGAAGAGATTAATGCCATGAAAGCACAATTCAAAGAAATTGATGCCCGCCCTGCAAAGAAGGTGGCAGAGGCTAAAGCTCGAAAGAAGCGAGTTGCCTTTAGGAAGCTTGAGAAGGTTCGGAAGAAGGCAAACACAATATCGGACCAGCCAGACATTTCTGATCGTTCAAAGAGGAAGCAAATTGAACAAATGTACAAGAAAGCTGCGCCCAAAAGGCCTCAAAAGGAGTATGTGGTTGCAAAGAAAGGAGTTCAAGTCAGGGTTGGCAAGGGTAAAGTACGTGTGGATCGAAGGATGAAAAAGGATGCAAGGGGTAGTGGACCAGGTAAAAGGCCTGGAAAAGGCAATTCAAAGAAAGGAAAAACTGCTGCCAAGGGTGAGAGAGGAGGCAAGGGTGCTGGAAAGGGTGACAGAGGCAAGGGGCCGGGGAAAGGAAAGGCTTCAGGAAAGCCAACAGGCAGGAAGGGTAGGAAGTGAGAAATATGGGCAAGCAAGCACGACTGAGCTTCCGTGCGATAGGGTGTTCGTTAGTTTGCATGATCAATTTTGTTTTTCTTCTGCTATCTCAATTTTTATTTGTTGGAATAAGTTATAGTTCATTTTTTGTAGCCATCGTTGTTAAAACTTAATCCTTCAGGAACGAAACAGTTTTTTGTAAGGTTATGAGGGGTTTTACTTGGGTCTATGTAGTTTATGCAAAAACAGTTAGTTCGTTAGTCCCCATGGTGAAATTGAAGTTTTGGTGTCCCTATAGTTTGAACAATTTCACTTTTGTCTCCGCTTGAACTTGCGAACTTTAGGGCTTGTTTGATAATCATGGCTTTTTAGATTTCAGTTTTGACCCCATAAACGAAAAAACACTCAACAACAACAAAATCTTTTCTCATTAAGTGGAGACGGCTATATGAATTTTAAAATGTCATTGTGTTCGGTTCTGTGTCACGTCTTCTGTTAGATCCAAGTACTTCTAGGTCTTCCTCTACCCCTTCGGCCTTGAACCTTTGTCCCGTAATTGCATCTTCTAACCGAAGCGACAGTAGGCGTTCGTTTCACATGTTCAAACCACCATAACCAATTTTCTCTCATATTTCCTTCAATTTCGGCTACTCCTACTTTACCTCGGATATCCTCATTTTGAATCTTATCCTTTCTCGTGTGCCCACACATCCAAGGAAGCATTCTCATCTCCGCTACACCCATTTTATGTATGTATTGATGCTTCACTGCCTAACATTCCTTGCCATAAAGCATTGCCGGTCTTATTGCTGTCTTATAAAATTCCCTTGAGCTTCAGTGGCATACGATGGCCACACAACACGCCAGATGCACTCTTCCACTTCATCCATTCAGCTTGTATTCTATGGTTGAGGTCTCCATCTAACTCTTCGTTCTTTTGCAAAACGAGCAAGGCTGTGAGCAGCTTCGTTGGAAAGCTGAAACGATATGGAGAGAGTTACATTCAAGAATGATATTTTGTAATCCCCTCTGTGTCGCCAAAAGGAGGCCTTCACGAGCCGCAAGGCCTTTGGCGTGAAGAGGCGAAACAACAAACGGAAATGCCTTTGAGCAAGCTGCAACACACATTCCTAAGTACTTGGTTTGGTACTGAGATGCTTTTATAAAAAGTGGGTATAAAAAAAAAAAAACTGAGCTCAAAAAGGTGTTTGGTAAACACTTAAAAACAGCTTATTTCACAATTTTGGGTAAAAAAAGTGAAAAACGTGAAGCAGCAAATATGAGCTTATTCTCACAGCACAACAGAATCAGTTTTTTTTTCAAAGCACAGCAATACCAAACCAGCCCTAACTCATCCCTAATAACAACCCCGACGCCACCACATTTTCACTTTCTTTCCACACCTTATCCACATTAATCTTTACATAACTTGGAGGGGGTTTTTTACACGTACATAGAAGGGATTGGAGGTCTAGAGACAAAAGGATGGGACCGAGCTTTCTGGAAATTTAACCACCAACTGATTGCCCTCAAGGTGACAATGTCCGAGCATTCTGACCCACCCTTCCACAGTCAGTCATTACGAGCACACCAAATTGCCCAAAAGATCATAAGGCAAATCTCGAATGTGATTAAGAAAGGTGAGAAGCCAAGAAGAGAACCCAATCCTCAATAGAGTTAATATTATTCCCTGAAGGGGGTTTCCCAATACATGATGTCAACCATGCGCATGAGGCGAAGTAGCAGTCACATAAAAGGTGCAGTGCAGATTCCGATAGGCCAAAGCACAGGGTACAAGACAAGTCAGTGCCCGTCTACAAACCATATTTGCTTTGGTGGGGATGATGTCCTTGCAGATCCTCCACACCTCAATCTTGACTTTGGGGGGAACATTCTCAGGCCATAATTTCCCCCACTTACCCACGTAGCACGATGACCCTGTCGAAGTGGAAGCTAGATTACCCTTCTCCAATAGGACCTTAGGCCATCTCCAACCGAAGGGTCCAGAGGGCTGAAAATAGCTCGAAAACCGTCTCCAACTGAAGGCTAGGCCAAAGGGCACGTGGGCCCCATTGGACAAAAAGGGTCATAGGGCTAACCGGCCATCCTAAAGGAGCCAGCCAGCCGCCCCGAGTTGGGCTAGAATTCAAATTGCAACGGCTAGCTAGCCTTTTTTTTTTTTTTTAATGGTTTTTTATTTTATTTTATTTAGAAATTAAAAAAAAATCTATTTTTTTTTCTATAACTTTATAAGCTATTAAATAACATTAAGTAACATGAAACAATATTAAACAATATTAAACGAGATTAAATAACATTAAACAACATAAAAAAACATTTAACAACATGAAACTTAAACAACATTTTTAAAAACATTTAACAACATAAAACTTAAACACCTACTCCATGCTTCTTTTGGCCCAAAGATGTGCAACAAGATCCTGTTGTAGGTACTTGTTTGTGGCATGGAAGTGTATCACCCTATAGCACCTCATGTACTCATTTAAAGAGATACTACCAGTTCTTAGATTGAAAGGCAAATTAGGCCCATCATATATTTTTGCACGAGCCTTTCTTAACCTATTTGGATCCTCTTGGTCGTCATCAGACTCTCCATCAACATAGCCATCTCGCTCATCCTCTACAATCATGTTGTGTAATATGATGCAAGACATCATGATGGAGTCCAAATTTTCTCAACTCCACCCTCTTGCCGGTTCCTTGATGATCTTCCACTGTGCTTGTGGAATACCAAAAGCTCTCTCAACATCTTTTCGGTATGCTTCTTGGTGATAGGTAAAACACTTTTAGGCGTCATTCGCCGGGTTTGGAATTGCTTAGACAAGTGTCGCCCACTTTGGGTAGATGCCATCTGCCAAGTAATACCCTATATTGTACTGATGGTCGTTGATGTAATAGTCAAGTTAAGGTGATTTACCTTCCGTCAGGTTATTGAAGATGGGTTAACGCCCAAGAACTGTAATGTCATTTCAGGATCCAGGGACTCCAAAGAAAGCATGCCAGATCCATGTGTCATACAAGGCAACCACCTCTAACATAATAGTTGGCTTTCTCGACCTTCTGCTAAAGCCTCATTGCCATCTAGTGGGACATTTCTTCCAATTCCAATGCATGCAATCTAATGACCCTATCATGCCTAGAAAGCCATGGTCTTCAGCTTTGTGAGGAAGCCAATCCAGATCTTCTTGATTTGGCTCACGGAGGTACTCCTCTTTATAAAGATGAACAATTGTGTCACAGAATTCAACAAGAGTATCAAGCATGTAGACTTAGACATACCGTATGTATCATCCATTGCATCAGCTGGGGAGGCATAGGCCATCATTCGGAGTGCAATAGTAACCTTCTGATGAGGTGAGAAACCATGATGGCCTATTCTATCCAGCGTCTGTCAAAGTATGGATTGACCTGTTGGACATCATGAAGTAAACGCTCAAACATTGGACGCCACATCTGGAAGCGACGTTTGAAATCCTCTTATGTGTACCCCGAGTTGGGGTTGAAGTAGTTGTTCATCAGATTGTCATGCGCCATCGCTTTGTTTCGTGGTTTGTAGGAGGGACCAGCAACAAAGCCACCCTATTGAGGTTGTTCCTCAGTTTGCTAACACACCATAGATGTAGCCATGTTTGCTACATATTGTGTGTTGCGCCATGCTTTATCTTCTTCATCAGACTCCTCATATTCTAGTCTCATCTACACCCATTTTCCTTCCAATTCAGAATTGGATTTGGACACCTAGTTGGAATTCGAAGACGATCCAAAGTTGGAATTCATTGCAAACTTGAATTGAAAAAGTTTGACCCTTTGGCCCTCGATTGGAGATGGTAAGAAATATGGCACTGCACTGTTCATTAAAATATTAATTTGTTGGAGGTCTGAAGGGCTAAAACGAGCCCTCTGGCCTTCTTTCAGTTGGAGATGACCTTACAGGCCACATGATAGGCACTTTTCACACTGAACAGTCCATCCTTATTGAAATGCCAGATAAGGATGTCCGGTGAGCTCCGAAAGCTAAGCGGCATGGAAAAAATAGCCTTGCACTCTTCGTTGGAGAATAAGGATCTAATAATGGGGATCTTCCATTGTTTTGTTTGGTGGCAAATAAGATCAGAGACTAAATTAACCTCACGGAGCAGAGGCTTTGGAGTGAAAACACGGAATCGATAGGGATATGAGATCCAGTGGTCCCCCCAAATATCCACAGCCTCACCCTTTCCAGTCTTCCAGCAGAAACCTCTGTCAATGATCGATCGAGCCGTACAAATACTTCTCCAGCTAATTGAGGCTTTGGTTTTAACCTTAGCCCTCAAGAAAGAGATGTTAGATAATATTTTTCCTTCATAGTTTGCGCCACCAATGAGTTAAGCTCATTTATCAACTGCCACCCGTGTTTTGCCAAAAACCCCAAGTTGAACGCATACATGTTTCGGAAACCCAAGCCACCCTCACCCTTTGGCAAACAGAGTTTATCCCATGATAGCCAATGAATTTTCATAGTTTCATTCGTCCCATTCCATCAACCACCATCTTGTCCAGGTCATCACAAAAGTATTTTGGATATAGGAAGCATTGCATTGTATAGATAGGGATAGACTGGGCCACAACCTTTACAAGGATCTCACACCCTACAGAGCCTAGCATCTACCCCTTCCAACCTTTAAGAAGCTTTAAAAGTCTTTCCTTAATGTGACTAAAACACATCCCTCTATTCTTACCCACCAGAGTAGGGAGCCCCATATACCGTTCGTGTCGATCAACCATGTTTACACCCAAAAGGTTTGCCAATTCTTCTTGAGCCAGACGCCGAACATTCTGGCTGAAGCACACCACACTCTTTACCAGATTAACAGACTGACCCAATGCTTTTTCATAGGACTGAAGCATATCTAAGATTTGGGAATAGCCATCGGTGGATTCCCAAGCAAAGATAAGGTAGTCATCTGTAAAAAAAAAAAAAAAAAAGGTGACTAATAAGGGGCGCCTCTGCAAATAGCGACTCCTTGCAACGAGCCATCCAACATTTGTTTTGAAAATAGGGCTAAGAGTCCCTCAGCATAGAGAAGGAAAAGAAACGGGGATAGAGGGTCACCTTGTCTTAGACCGTGTCCCGGATGTAAGTACCCACGAGGGGATCCATTAATCAGGAAAGAATAAGATACCATTGATACACACACCATTAATAAATCTTACCAACTGTGGGGGGAATCCTATTTTCTGTAAGACACCTCTCAAATAACCCTACTCCACCCGGCCATAAGCTTTGCTTATATCCAATTTCATTGCCATAAAACCTTTCTTACCCCTTTTTCGATTGAATAGGAAATGAGCAATTTTCGAAGGCAAGATGGTGTTATCAGAGATGAGTCTTCCCGGCACAAAGGCACTTTGATGTTCAGAAATAAGGCGGGAATGATGAGTTTCAACTAATTTGCATAGGCTAATAGGACGGAAATGTGTCATCTCAGAGGGCTTCTTTTGCTTCGGGATGAGCGATACATGAGTGAAGTTTATTTTCTTGAGGATCTTTCCAGAGTTCAAAAAAGAAAGGATAACAGATGAGACATCGGGTCCAACGATACTCCAAAACCGTTGGAAGAACAGAGGTGGAAGACCGTCGGGACCCGACGCTGTAGACCCCTCAATTTGAAAAAGTTCCTCTCTGATCTCAACCGCAAAAGTCCCCATTAAGAATCTGCATCATATCCTCATCCACACGCATATCCAAGGCATCTAGAATAGGCCCAAATTCCAAGTCCCTCACGTTCTGAGATTGGAAGATATTGGAGAAATACCCGAGGACAGTAGTCTCGATCCCATTGTCATCCTCAGACCAATTACCGTGGTCATCCTGTAATCCCAGGATTCGATTTTTCAACCTTCTTCCGTTAGCAAATTTGTGAAAGAAGCGATAATTTTCGTCACCCTCCTTAAGCCAAACACTGCTTCCAATAGGACTCTCTTGGGAAAGTAGATCATCCAGTTAAGAAAGCAGGTTGGCCCGTTCCGCCAAGGCCGCTGTTGAGATGGGCTGGGCTAGATGAAGCCTTACTTCAAAAGTTTGGATTGAAGGGATGCGAGCTTGTGTCCACTCCTATAGTTGTAAATGAAAAGCTAATGAAGGATGATGGGAGTCAACCTTCTGATTCAAATCTATACAGAAGCATTATTGATAGTCTTTGTATTTAACTGCAACGTGACCAAACCTCATGTTTGCTGCAAGCTTACTCTCAAGATTTATGCAGAATCCTACTAGAATTCACATGGGAACTGATAAGCAGGGTGCTAAAACAAGGAACATTGGATTGTGGAATTAAATATGAGATCAGAAAGTCAACTATCCTAATTGGGTTTGAAACAGTGATTGGGGAGGCAGTGAAGATGATTGCAAAAGCACATTGTGTATGCTTTACATTTGGCTCAGGTGTATTTTTGTGGGCCTCAGTTAAGCAACAAAGTATTGCACTATATCTATTGCAGAGACTAAGTATGTGAGTGCCTCATAAACAACGTTGCAAGTTGATATCACACCTCTCATGTGTGACAACACTTCTGCACTTGTTATGACCAAAAGACAAAGCACATCAAGAGAAGATATCATTTGATCAGGGAAGCAATACAAGAAAACATAATTGAGCTAAACTATTGCAAGATAGAAGAACAAATCGCATACATATTCACCAAGGCACTTGCAAATAACCGATTCACTTACCTCTGGGGATTGCTCGAGGTGACAAACATAACCAATTTAGAGGGGAGTGTTGGAACCTAATTTGGTTCTTGTTCCTAGAATTGAAGGCTCAATGAAGAAGAAGATGAAGCAGTAGCTAAAGTCGATTGAGTTTTAGTTTAAATGTAACCGCTAGTTTTAGTTTTGAGCTTTAATCAAGTGACAAGTGTACTGTCTTAGATTAGATCACTTAAAACTTAGTGTAAGGATCGAATCTGAAAATGGTAGGTGTTCAAGTTTGTACAACTTTGTCATCTGGCTCAATTGGAGATAAGGATGTGAGTTGGCAATGTACCAAAACCCTACAATTGGGTCATATGTATGAAGTTATGCTGCTGCATTTGCACAACCTTTTTAGCCGTCACATACTGTATATTCCTTTCAGTGTTCCTCTGTTCATTCCTCGTACACGAAATCAACCAAACAAATCACACTAAAACCATAAACATTATCAGAACTTAAACGTGATATTCAATACGCATTCAATTATTAAAAGTTAAATTGGATATGATATTGTCCTTCTTTCAAACTCTCTTCATACATTTGTAGCAAAAGTTATTTTCTAGTGCCCACAATCACAACCTGGTCCTCCGTAGGTAAATCTACAACCCCAATACGCGGATCCAGTATCCTTGTCATTTTGTATGCCATAACAGCCAGATGGTCCTATATACTCACGCACAGGATCAGTCGGTGTTGGAGTAAGTTCTTTAAGCCAAGCCCTCATGTAATGCAGGCTTCTGAAATATGCTGCATGACTTATGTTCTCATCTGGGTATCGACCACTGCCGACTGGGGGGCTCAGCGTGTTTCCGGACATGGCAGTTCCTCCCCACCCAACTTCATCAGCCCCATTACGTAAATTTGTAAATATTTCCTTTGGCCAATACCCGACTGTAATGTTCTTGTCTGATAATGTAAACCACCAATTTTGTGAGTGGGGATCCTGCAAAATTGAAAAATGAAACAAATAATTAGATTTCCATCATTCACGCATATAAACTATAATAATGTACCTAACAAAGGATCAAAACAAAAATCTACGAACAAGAACTTGAGCTTAGTAAAAAACCATCTCATCAGAGAATGAAAATCCAAATTAGTTATTAAAAAAAAAAAAAAACTCTGTTTAATTAGCTAGTTTACCTGGTATATAGTGAATTTCGTTTCATACGTTTTCCCACCAACAATAGACACTGGTGCTAAACGGATGCCTGGATAAACTGTTTGGTCGACTTGTACAAATCCTGCGCAGAGCAAGTTAAAGCATCCTATATTACCATTATTTACCTGATCATAAGCACAGTTGAAGCATATTAGTTACATGGCTCATGTATATTTCTGCCAATGAAATTTTGTCAGACTCTGTCAATTTGAACAAACAACTAGGTGAAATCTTATCATAGTTGTGATACTTAATAAACAGTCTGACAAGCATAACATGTATATCTGATAAGAAAATGTTACTCTGTAAAATTAATAAACAAATTAACATCAATAGCAGGAAAGAATTGGGGGGGAAAAAAAAAAAAAAAAAAGAGCGAGTGAGAATTAATTAACTGAGACTAGCAACTTACAGTCCAATATGTATACAATCGAGTCAGGTTATCGCCACTTATTGAGGGTGAAACCTGTGACATTTTGGTATATGTTAATTTGTTGTTAATTGGTTGTGTTTGTGGACCATAGAAAAAACTTAGTGAATAGATTGAGGATATTTTACAGTTTCAGAAATTAAAGATTACCATCCACCAGCATTTATCGCATTGATTTCCTTAGGCGGACCCCTTTTGACAAAAACATTGCCGGCGGAAGATTGGTCTGGTGAGAGCAAGGCTGGTTGGAATACGGACCCGAATCCCCAAACTCCAGAGTATCTAACACGTGGTATGTACCACAATTTCACGAATACTTGCTGATTTCACAAGTAATATTGAATGGAGTTATAGCTTCACTTTATGCAGTTTAGACACACAAAACAAAACTGATATACATACTTACATGAATGTTAGGAGGAAGAGGATTATGGCAGCCGTTGTTGCGAAACATTTGATTGGAAATGTTTTTGGCCCTTACCAAATCATCCTTCGTTGTTCTTTGTATAGGAACTGTTCCGTCCGGGCATGCTTCCCTCTTAGACAATGATTCGCGTATTGGATCATGAATCACAGGAGCTGAGTCTTGAATCCCAGCCGAAATGAAGTTGGTCGCACCTCCAAATATTTTTTTTTAATTCATTTTAACTTTTAGGATATTCAAATAAAACTATGTTTTGTTTAAAATTTGTTTTTGCTTCTCAAAACTAGATTCTATACATATATATGTGTTGTATATGCATGTTCAGAGTGCAGTGAAGTTTATTTAGAGATGAAAAATTAGGGTTCGGTAGGTAGAAGGCGATACATACTGATTGACAGTTAACCATACATGACAATTAACAAAATGTTTTTCTTTTTTGGTAATAGATGAATTATTTTTCAAACTTTGAAACAAAGAATGAAGAAATTCGAAAGAAAATGAGAAGATGCTTAAAAAGTTGTGTACCTGGCGGTGGACAAGAAGTGAAAAAAACATATTTCTATTTAAATTTTCATTTGTTATATAAAATGTAAAAATGATATAATAATCTGCAAATGAACTAAAATTTGGCTTTAAATTACAGATTAGCGCAAATTTTGGGGGTATAGTCAAACTTAGATTTGAGAGGATTTTAAAAGACTTTAAAATTCTAGTGTAGTCAATTAAAAGATTTCAAAGGATTTTAGAATCCATTCAAATCTAGGTGTAGTCAATTAAAGGATTTTAGAATCCTTTAAAATCTAGGTGTAGTCAATTAAAAGATTTTAAAGAATTTTAAAATCCATCCAAATCCAAGCGTATTCAAAAAATTAAGATTTTGGAGGATTTCAATAAGTTGTGGATTTTGTGGGATTTGAGAGCCAAAAGTATATATAACCAATACTAAAAAGAATCCAACCTCACCCCCCTAGGATTTCAAATCCTTACATCACAATCCACCACAATCCATTCAAATTCTTTAAAAATCCATATGAATTTTTTAGGAGTCTTTAATCTTCTTAACTACATGTGCTCCCTCCTCTTCACATAATTTAGATCAGACTAATTAAAATGTTGCTAAAATAAAAAATTAGACTAATTAAAATGTCACTAAAATGAAATATTATAAAAACAAAATTACAGAAATCTCAATTGAATGGTGGTGTGTGTGTGTGTGTGTGTGTGTGAATTTCTGAGTTTTTGTACAATTTCTACTAAGTCAAACACTTCCATTAAAAACGTTATTCTACCAAGAGTACCCGAATAGCTTTGACAGCAGGTTTGTTAAGAATCTGAAGTTGTCTTTCCAATTCCAAGTCTTCTTCTTTGCTGGCCAGGACTATGCTTGGAGCTCTCCACAGCTTTTTGGCTTCTAAGGTATATGGTGATGTATTGGAACTTGCCTAATGGATATTAGGGTTTCTTGCATGGTTAAGAGTCTGGTTCCCTTGTGATTAGTTTGCTGTCAACTTCCTAATCTAAGTTGTTAACTCCCTTAATTCAAGGAGTTGTTATTTAGCTTCCCAAAGCGATTTGTATAGATCTCAAGGATGGGTTGTCATCCTCACTTTAGCTAAGTCATGGGCTAAAGTGATGGTCTTAACCCTACTCTCATGTCTTCCCATACCTTGTCATTCACCTTACCTCTTTTGTCAACCTTTCTTGCTTGTAGGAGCTTCTTTACTTGTAATTAAGTTTTTGCTTACCCACTTGTTAGGGCAGATTTTAGGGAATGTGTTGTAGCTGTTTGCCTACAATTCTTGAAGCTTTCTTTGTGACTCTCTATAAGAGTGGCCTTCATTTCTTGTAATATGTATAATGAGTGAAATACAATTCAACCTTTGAAAATCAATATGGTATCAGAGCAAGGAAATTAACCTACTTCTGCTATACTGCTATCCAAGAGTATTCAATCTCCAAAATGTCTGAAGACAATCCTTTAGCATCAGAAGCTGATAGTTCCCCGGAGCTTTCCTCCGTGAATGTGCATGAGGTGAACGTCAACCCAAATCAAAGGTTAAGCTCAGTCGTACTGAATGAGTTTAATTACTTGTCATGGTCAAGAGCTGTGTCTTTGGCGTTGGGTGGCAGGTCCAAGTTAGGGTTCATAAATGGAAGCATCAAAGTACCTGATGCTTCCTCACCAAACTATGAATCCTGGCTTAGCAAGGATCAACTAGTTATGTCATGGCTCTTGAATTCCATGGAACGAAAGTTAGCTGAAATATTCAGCTACTCAGAATCCTCGTACCAACTATGGGAAGCGGTCAAGGAAATGTATGGTAGCCAGAATAATGCTGCTCGGGTTTTTCAATTAAAGAAGGACATCTCCGATCTGCAACAAGATGGCAAGCCGTTTGTGCAACTCCGAGGAAGCATGAAAAACATGTGGAACGAGTTGGAAATTTATCGTCCTCATACGACCGATGAAGCACTGCTACGAAAGAGAGCAGAAAAAGACAAGATATTCCAACTCTTGTCCAGTCTTGACTCAACATATGAAGATCTACGATGTCACATACTCATGAACACTGAACTTCCTTCCTTCACCAGTGTGTGTGCAACAATTCAACGTGAAGAAGTAAGGAGGAAAGTCATGAACATGAGTACAATGACTAACGTACCTGAGGCTAGGGCATATATAACCAACGAAAGAAAGTACAAAGGAAAGCATCCACACTTAAAGTGTCAACACTGCAACAATACAGATCATGTTAAAGACACATGCTAGATTTTACATCCAGAGTTAAAACCTGACTTCATGAAGGACAACAAGGGCGTACAAAGGGTGAACCGTACACCACATCGAGCAAATCATGCATCTACCTCCATCTCCAATAGGTCAGATCCATTCAAGAACTTCACAGCAAACCCAGCAGAACTCATGAATGAGTTTATGTCGTACCTTTAAGGCAAGAAATGAGGGGCTGGAATTGACCGTACAGATAGCATGGAAGAAGGGACCTCGACAACATTGCTCAGCAAGTTTGCAGGTTTCTTGGCAGACACGAAACCTGTACCCCAAGAGGACATGCAAGGTATCATGAAAGCCTTTAAAACTGCTCTTAAATTAAATATGTTGCATGATTTTTGGGTTGTAGATTCAGGTGCCACAGATCATATGACCAACCATGTGTCTTAATCTCAAAAGTTTGAAAAATTGGCAAAGCCTTCTCAAGTTTCAATTGCAAATAGAGAGCATGTAAAGGTTTTAGGAAAAGAAAAGATAAAGTTGATATCTGATGAAATTGAATCAATAGCTTTGTATGTTCCTTCCTTCCCATTTCAACTTCTATCTGTGGGAAGGATCACAAATACCTTGAATTGCTTAGCCATTTTTTCTCCTCACAACGTGATTTTTCAGGATTGTACCACCAAAAAGATGATTGGTGAAGGGTTTTATTTAGATGGTCTCTATTACATGTCAAAGAGCAATCCCAGAGGGTGTCACGCCAAGTTCAACTCCATTCAAGATAATCAATTGTGGCATCAATGTTTAGCTCACCCTTCCAAACTTAGGGAAGAATGTTATTTTTTGTGAAACATGCCACTTGTCTAAGGCCACTAGATTACCTTTTAACTCTTCTTTGTTTAGGACTAGCAAGTGTTTTGAACTAGTTCATTCAGATGTATGGGGACCAACTAGTGAATCTTTTGATGGCTACAAGTATTTTGTGATTTTTGTGGATGATTTCTCTTGAGTCACATGGTTGTATCTCCTAAAGTCTAAGAATGAAGTTATAGAAGTGTTTAAGGACTTCCATAACCTTGTTAAAAACCATTTCTCATCTCAAATTCAAACCTTACGATCTGACAATGGCACCGAATACATGTCCCACATCATGAAATAATATTTGAGCACTCATGGCATCATGCATCAAAGAAGTTGTGTTGGAACCCTCAACAAAATGGGGTAGCTGAACGTAAAAACCGTGACCTACTTGAGAAAACAAGAGCACTAATGCTGCAAATGAATGTACCAAAGAGATTTTGGTCTTAAGGTGTTATGGCAGCTACATATATCATCAATAGGTTACCTAGTCGAGTCTTGGAATTCAAGTCTCCCCTAGAGGTCCTGAAATGAAGGAAAATTGATCTCTCACATCTTAGAGTGCTTGGTTGCATATGTTTTGTACATGTTCAATCTCATCACCGAGATAAATTAGATCTTAGAGCTGCTAAATGCATCTTCCTTGGTTACTCATCTACTCAAAAGGTATATAAGTGTTATAATCTCCAACTAAGAAGAGTGATTGTGTCCAAAGACGTTCGATTTCATGAGACTAACCCTTTTTTTGACAAGACAAGTGAAATCATAGATCAAGGGGATGGCATCTTGGACTTGTTCCCATTACCAAGAATCGAACCTGAGGATTCGCAACAACGAGAGCTCAGTCATGCCAACACTGATGCTTATCTCAATGAAGATAACCATGAAGGCTTTCATCCTGATGGTTCCATGCATGATGAAGGCAGCAGTAACCAAGAAAACTTTTAAAGTGTGGCTGAAAATTTGAACAAGAGTGAGCCAACTCTCCCAAAACCTCGACGCAATTCTCGGCGTGATAGGCAGCCTCCCACAAGGTTTCAAGATTTTGACACATACAAACCGAGGCATCCAATATCAAATTACGCGTCGTATCAAAAGGTGACTCCATCACATGCTGCCTTCCTTAACACCATCTCCAGTCACAGTGAGCCTCAAAACTTCCATGAGGCTAATAACCATGCTGTGTGGCAAGAAGCAATGCGAGATGAACTCAAAGCTCTAGACCAACATAACACCTGGAGCATCATCAAACTTCCAAAAGGAAAAAGGGCAGTGGGTTGCAAATGGATCTATAAGATCAAGTTTAATTCTGATGGTTCAATTGAGAGGCATAAAGCCAGGTTAGTGGCTCGCGGATTCACTCAAACATTTGAGGTGGACTACAAAGGAACATTTGCTCCTGTTGCAAAAATGAACTCAGTTAGGGTTTTATTGTCTGTTGCTGTCAATAAGGGTTGGTCCATGTACCAAATGGACGTGAAGAACGCCTTTCTACATGGTGATCTTGAAGAAGAAGTCTACATGCGATTGCCCCCCGGATATCCTCAAAGCCAGGACCCTGATTTGCTGTGTAAGTTACATAAGTCTATTTATGAACTAAAGCAATCGCCTCGTGCTTGGTATGCTAAACTAAGCTCAGTTCTTCATAGTGTTGGTTTCAAAAGGAATGGTGCCGATTCATCATTATTTGTTCGCACTGGAGCTGGTGGGAATTAGTTGTGTTAATATATGTGGATGACTTAATAATTACAGGTGATAATGTTGCAGAGATCCCCAAACTCAAACAGTCACTTTAACAAAGATTTGCGATTAAAGACCTTGGGGTGTTAAAGTATTT